TCATTGAGTCCAGTTACCCATATGCCATTCGAATCACCTATAACTCATACCCTGGCTGAATTGTCATGGTCAGCGACACTGAGCTCAGTAGTTCACTATCTTAGGAAGAAAATTAGATATTCTATCTCCTGATAGCTTGACTGTTAGAAAATTCTTCTTTAATATAAGTCCAAGTATCTATTTCCGAAACATTTTTCCCCCTGCATCTGCAACATCTGAGTATTCTTCATTTTCCCATTTTAGATATCCAATATCAGTGCCTTGGAATCACTGCATAGCAACCCAACTCAAAAGACCTTTATATCTACTCTACACACTTGTTACTTTGATTCTGCACCAGTCTATCATTCCCCTGGGTAACCTGTTGCTCCAAAGCAGAGATGTGAATTGCTATATCAGAGGCACTGTCCCTTCTTTCTCTTCAGATCACAAACTCATCATTTCTTTGACTCCCATCAGAGAAGAACAAAATTACACTAGTCCATAGTTTTAAAATAAATGTGGATCTCAAAGCAAAATGTAGACATTAATGTTTTGGGGGGAAAACTCTTCTACTTCTTTGGGGTTTTTTTCTTGACACAGCTGGCCAAAATGAAATAGTGAACACTGTATAAAACTAGGTGCCTAGAAATACTGATTCCAAGTATTCTAAGTCCCGATTCTGCTACTAAATCTTATGTAGCCTATAAAATCCAGATCCCTCTGTCCCTTTAGGGATAATCTAGACTCAACATTTGATGACTTGATTTCTAATAAAGAATTTGATCCCTAAATCAATAGCTATACAAAGAAGTAAAATTAAAAAAAAACTGTTGAGCAATGTCATGTTATTTGTATTTAAGAGTCTCCTTTAACCAATGAACAAGAGAAGTATTAAGTGGGATTCAAGTCAAAAGTGCACCATCATTAGTTAGCCCTTGATTGCCACGAGGTCTGCATTTTTTCTGCTCTTAGAAACCAAAAGATCTATATGTTCCATACTCACAGATAAGAGTTTCCATCAGCCCCCCAAAATACAGAAAGATTCCAAAGACATAAATGATGACAAAACCTGTGTCTACATTAACTGAAAGTCCTTTCCTCTGATTTACTTGTTCAAAACATACTGGGCTCTTGTATAAGTTATGGTAATACTAGCTTTTGTAATAGTTAACCATGAAATCTCAGTCTCTAGTTTAAATTATTAATTCATTGATCCAATTTTTGGCAGAAGGGGC